GGATTTGAACCCTGGCTCCAGAACCTGCTTGTTCACTCTCTGAGCTACGGCGCCACCTGTCGAGCGCTTCTGGGCTCTGCTACTAATGAAACCTCGCCCCCTCTTGGGGCTCGGGTTGGGGCGTGGCTTAGGACTTGAACTTCCCGCCGGGCTCTTGGGCCAAAACGTTTCAGCCGCTTAGGAGACTCAACTTAAGTTTCTTTTGCCAGCTTCCTTCTGAATTCCGTCTGAGTTTCTCTTTCAACCTCACCTGTCTTGCCAGGTTCATCTGGCCTTACTTGACTCTGTTTTCCTGCCACCTCCTCCTGGCGGCAGGCTCCAAATTTCGGCTGTGTTCTTGCTCTCTCTGCCTCAGCAGAGACTTTTCAGTTCTTACAGAGCCTCTCTACTCCAACAAGGGCCCACCACGGCCCAGCATCTTCCGGGAACCCATAGAAATGCAGAACTTAAATGATTCACAGACGCTGAATGGGGATCTGCAGCTTAACAAGACCTTCCCTGCTCCAGGGCCCCCAAACCCCAGCTCTCAGCCCCAAGATGCATTTTAAAGGTTGATACCTCTGGTCTGTGAGACCCAGGGAACCTTCAACATAAGGCATGTCACCTGCGGCAGTATACCTAAGAAAATGGACATCAACGGTGCCCTAAAGTTAGATGATGATTGCTCTTTTGCCTAGGTGAAGAAGATTCAAGTCTATTGCAGGCATTTGGATTCCAGGCACTGTATCCAGAAAGATGTTCCTTTTTCTAATTGCTAATGGAATTTTTTTATAATCAGGACTATACTTTTAAAGGATCTTAGCAAATTGAGGCATCAATACAGAAAATTCTAGATGTAATAAACCACCAGTGATACATGAAGTTTTAGACCAAAGCCCTAAGCCAGTAGTTCTCAAACTTGAGTTGCAACAGAATCACCATGAGGGCTTGTTAAGGCTACTCAAATTGTTGGGCCCTAACCTTAAAGTTTCTGATTCAGTGGGGCTAGGGTGTGGCTGATAATCTAAACATCTAGTAAGTTCCTAGAGGATGCTGATGCTGTTGGTCCAGGGAACACACTTTGAGAACCCCTGCTTCCAAACACTGTTATGGCTGCTCTGGGGTTATACTATCCCTTAAGAATAGTCAGAAATAATCCCATTCAGTGCCATATTGTTTCGTAGTTGTAATGAGTTCTGATATGAACGTAAGTACTGATCTGAGTATTTTCCTATATTTATGCAACACATTTAGCATTTTCATCTAAATTATGTGCCACCTATAATGTTTACGTTCAGGTGCAACCCTGATAGAGTCGAATACTTTCTTTCTTCTAGTGGCAATTTCACATGCATGGAAATCTCCTTTGTTACGATCTGCTGAAAAATGTCAAATCAAAGTTGTGAGATCTGAAAAGACTTTCTGTTATACAAATCAAAATCTATCAGTGGATATTAAAAAGCAAACAAATCTGCCATTCTTCCCATTGCATTCCCAGCGTCCTTTGTTAGGCCTGGTTGTAACTCTTCACACTGTGTTCTAATTAGTGATTTATCATCTGAGATTCTCAAGGGTGCAGGGATTCCTCAAGGGCAGGACATTCTTCCATTTAAAAAAAAAAAGTGTGTGGGGCCAGGCACTGTGGCTCATGCCTGTAATCCCAGCACTTGTGAGGCCAAAGTGGGTAGATTGCCTGAGCTCACAGTTTCGAGACCAGCCTGAGCCAGAGCGAGACCTTGTCTCTAAAAATAACCAGACATTGTGGTGGGAGCCTATAGTCCCAGCTACTTGGGAGGTTGAGGCAAGAGAGTCCCTTGAGCCCAGGAGTTTGAGGTTGCTGTGAGCTGTGAAACCATAGCACTCTACCAACAGTGACAAAGTGAGACTCTGTCTCAAAAAAAAAAAAAAATATGTGTGACAGATGTTTGTTTTCTACTCTATGTCTAGTTTGTATTAAGGAACAGGGAATTACTTCCGGGTGAGGATGCAGTGTGTGTGTGAGCATCTGTGTCACATGTCTGTGTGAGCATGTCAGATGTGTGCCTGAGATTTCGCATGTGTGAGACTTCGTGGGGTGTGGGGGGCTTGTCTGTGATGGTGGTTATGTGATTTCGTTTGGGGACAGAACTGTCTGTGACTGTTTTTCCGGGACCGTGTACCAAGCATGTGTCTACAACTCAATGCATGCAACTCTCTAAGATTTAACAGTGACCATCAGTGGCTGACTGTGGGAAGGTGTTCCTACACCCCATATCATGTGTGTGTCACTGGATTCAAAATGTGCCTATCCCTGAGTCTCACGGGTTCCGTTGGATCCTGGCTGTGTGTTGTGCTCCTGTGGGTCTTGTGTTCCTGTCCCTGTGTCTGGGGCAGTATAGAGCCAGAGAGCCGGGGTTTTGTGTCCCTGGGGTCAAGGAGACCCTCTGGGAATTTAGCAGCTGGAGATTAGATTTCATGGGATCGTGAGAGGAAGGGAGAAAGAAGGATTCTTGGGGCAAGGCCAAGCCAGTCCACAGGCCAGGGCCTCAGTATCTTACGGGAATAGTCATAATAGATTCTGTTTAAGGAGTACCTACCATATTCTGGGCATTGCATTTCATGCTTTAGATATTTCCATTTATACTGTTGTATTTATGCAATATTGTATATTAAGTATTTTTATTATATTTATAAATAACAGTGACACGCATTGCTCATGATGTTTTATAATTAGTCATAAGTTACTCTATATAGAGAAACCTCATTTTCTATTATCCCACTAAAGGTAGGAGGAAGTAAGCTCAGACAGGTAAGTACCCTTGCTCGAGGTCACTCAGCAAAGTCAAAATTCAAAGCCTCTTCCCAGGGTCTCCAGCCTTTGGATTTAACAACAGCCCTACCCTGTCTAAGGGCTGTTATATGGAGTCCTTAATTTACTCCTTATTCCGGCATCTGAAATAGATACATCAGTGTCTTCAAGAGGCCTGGAGGGGTAGTCACATGAACAAGCTCTCGGAGGTGCTTCATCGGCTGCTCTCTAACCTGCCTGCCTCCTATCATCCCTTGCAGTCTTCTCCACAATCCTACAGTGCAGGAAGAAATATTGCCTATTTCACACATGAGGAAACTGAGGCCCAGACTTGTACTTGCTCACAGAGGCACTGGATCCCGACATGCACATCTCGCTCTTGACCCTGTTCTTGTCCTGCAGGAGGCCAGGACTCCATAGGGCCTCTGAAGGGGCTTGGCCAGGCTCTCAGATGCCTCTGAAGGGACTTGGCCAGGCTCTCTGTCCAGCACTGGGATCCCAACCTCCTTGCCCTTCCTGTGATGTTCCTTAATTTTTCCTTTGGCTCGTTTAGTTTCTGCTTACTGATTACGCTCACTGTATATTACATGAATTGAGTCTATTTTACCTAGATGGGCTGGGAGTTTGGGTTTTTTCTTTCCTTTTCTTTTTTTTTTTTTTAGAGACAGAGTCTCACTTCGTCACCCTTGGTAGAGTGCCCTGGAGTCACAGCTCACAGCAACCTCCAATTCCTGGGCTTAGGTGATACTCTTGCCTTAGCCT